TCTTCTGATGAGGACGAGGAAAAAGGAGCAACGAGCCTTCTAGCAGAGGGTGGCGATGATTCCCTGGATTTGCATGAAGAGAGTTTCTCAGGTGTGGGAAGCGAACGTCTGGAGCGCTCTCGTGCTGACAAGTTCAAGCGCTCCAGTCTGAAGAAGGTGGATAGTCTAAAAAAGGCTTTCTCGAGAAGCAGCATCGAGAAGAAGATCAACAAGATCGTGCCTCCAGAACAGCGCGAGAAAATCAAGAAAAGTTTCATCCCCAACCACCCGAAGAGCTCCTCTTCCAAGAGCTCGTCCTTCCGCGTCTCTCCAATGACCTTCAACGTCAAGAAGGTACAAGATGGAGATGCTGACTCCTCTCAGCAGCCTGGCAGCTCACCCAGGAACCTCAGCTCAGTGGAAGTTCCCAACATTGGGGGACCTGATGGTGAGCTGCCCCTGGCTGAGTTACACTCCTCAGGTGAGAAAGCAAATGGAGACGATCATCACAACCCCTCCACCCCGGGCAGTGGGGATGGAGAGGTGTTCGTTTCAGATGAGGGTGGAGATCTCGAGAACGGTCCATCTGCGACTCTGGCTGAAGAAGAAGTGGATAAAGAAGATGATGACACTGATGATCATGATGAAAATGGGAAGGAGGAAGAGGAGGAGGAGAAGGATGTGAGACCTGCAGAAGAAGCATCCATGTCTCTGCCATCAACTGCAGCTACTGTTGAGCTAACTTCTTAGATATAGTTGTGTTTCTAGCCCTCTGACTTCAATCCACTTCTGAGACTTTGGGAAGCGTAGTTACTCCCTTGTGCCACTGGTATCTTGTCCCCAAGCTTGTTTAATGTTAGCATGTCTGCTAAAATAACATATTGCCCTGAATTAACCCCAAATATAATGCATCTATAACCTATTGTGTTAAGTTCAGAAATTAAGCATGTTCTTGTATGAGGAAATTCCATTTAGATTCCATTTCAAATAGATTCTGTATAAAGGCCCAGAGAATGGTACAGCAGTTCAGACCACTGTCACCACAATGATACACCGAAATAGCTATATTTTCCTGTGGGAGCCTGTGAATACCATGAAATTGACTGAACTGAAATGCCTGAACTCTCCCTCTCTATCGTTTTTTCTTTGTGTGTAGGAGAGGCAATGTGTGTGCCAATCTGTCCTTTGTTATGCTGGAGTCCAGACTCTTTTCTGTCAATGTACATAAGATTAAGTATTAAATCACTTACAAAAACGTACTATGGTAGCATTATGGTTTTTGAAGCAGTACTTAATTTTTCACTCAAAGTACTTTGATGCAAATACCATGGTATTGTTTGGAGTACCATGTAGAAACAATTGTATGTTAATATGGTAACCATGAAATATATAGTAACAACATGGAACATCATTACTGTAACATTGTACCACCAAAGTACTTTTGTACGGTATAAAACAGACAACTACAAAAGACAAGACGTTATATGTTGACAAAGTTATGTTTTTGACATTTTTAGAATGTTTATTCAAATATTTAGCAGCACTCTGTCTCATGGCTTGAATAAGTAGATGTCTATGAGGACTGATAGCAGTGCTTGACAGCATTTTTACAAATTTTCTAGGGAAAAACCTGCACAATTGACTGCCATCTCCATGGCAACCTTGCCGCTGCCAACAACTCCAATTACTGCTATAGTGCACGGCAAGGGCACACATACAGCTTGATAAATACAAATGTACAGTGAAGCAGAAGTATTTGTGTAGTCAAACATTCCTTATTGCTGATGTAATAACTTCATATTCTGCTAAACACTAACATTAATTAGATGATTCATTGATGAAATACTTTGTACTCAGACCTGTAAATATAAAAATTGCTGCCAGATAGACTTCTAAACTAAAACATTACCCCCCATTGGGGGTTCTACTTCTATCTATCTCACACTAAACTACTCAGTATACACACACTACTGAGACACAGAAAGGGCACTTTAGCGCCGGCGATTAAGGGGGCAGGGGCTCGAGACCCATCCCCCAACCACCCTTGGTCAGCAATGATGTTGTTTTAAGGTGCTATATAAATATAAATTACCTAGTCCTTGACCTTGTTTGGGTTTGATGGATTTTGTTTACAAGAATGAACAATTATCTAGACAAATGTTGTCAACATTTATGCATTTATTAATGCAATTTAAAGGGGTCATATGATGCGATTTCAAGTTTTCCTTTCTCTTTGGAGTGTTACAAGCTGATTGTGCATAGATAAGATCCCTGAAGTTGCAAAGACTAAAGTCTCAAAATCAAAGAGATATTCTTTATCAAAGTTAAGACTCTGCCACGCCCCCCTAAAACGGCTCGTTCTAACACGCCCCCACATATCTACCTCACTATGTGGAAATATTTGCATAATGCGCCCAAATGTGCACGCAAAGAAAGAAGGCGTGGTTTCAGCTCCCAATTATGGTAAGGGGCGTTACATTTCCGACGAGTGCTTGCGGTGTTCGGCCTAATGATCTTTAAAAAGGCATCATATGACCCCTTTAAAAGTGTGCGAAGAAAGGTGGATTTTAAGTGTCTCAAGTTCTGTTGTTCTTCACTTAGTAAATGTGGAGTATGTGAGGTAAGATAACTAGTTGGTCTTAACAGAAAACTTCAAGGTTTCATTTTCTACATCAACCACATGTGGGTTTGGCAAGCAGTCTAAAATCTCTGGCTCTCAGGTACACTGAGGGGTCAGGTTACATATACTGTATATCTGTCCAGGTTGAATGAGGTTTTTTGAGGTACCAACAGCTTCCACTGACAGTGTGAAATATGTAAGGAGGTACAGAGGATATTAGCTGAGATTGTATGTGCCATAAAGAGAAGACATTTTCATTCAAAGGAAAATATTTAAAAGCAAAAAAAAAACAAACAAACAAGGGATTCACGTCCAAATGTACTGCTGCTATTAGTATTATTTATTTATTAAATGATTTGATCTATCTATTTATTTATTTTCCTCCTTGGCCACCTCGTGGAACTGGACCTTTACAATTGAATGGATGATGTTGTCTCCACCGTGTGGCCAAATGCCGTCAGTTTACGATTTCATCTGCTTGTTGATGATTATCAAACGTAAGCCCGTAAAACTAAATAGTTGTTTAGTAACTAAATATAAATATTTTATTTTGTTACTCAGAACATTATCAGATTGTGATTTGAAAAAAAAATCGTATTCTTATGCTTCACTAAAAACAAGTCAGATTTTCATTACATTTACGTAATTGCTTTTGCTTCAATATTATCGCCTCAGTAAAGTTTATTTGAACACCATGTGCTAATAAATAGTGTTTTATATATATTTTTTTAGATAGTAATTGTCTGAAAAGTTTTAAATCTAGACGAAAAATGTGTCTACATATAATTTTATTTTACGTAAGCTATTTATGTGGAATATCATGCTTGTCATGCATTTACGAGAATCAAAAATGAGCTATTTATGTGGAATATCATGCTTGTCATGCATTTGCGAGAATCAAAAATGAGCTATTTATGTGGAATATCATGCTTGTCATGCATTTGCGAGAATCGAACATGGCGTCATGGTGGCCGAGAGGTTAAGGCGGTGGATTCGAAATTCAATAGGGTTTCCCCGCACAGGCTCGAATCCTGTTCGTAACGAACTTCCTTTTCGCGCGAGACTGAGCGAATTATTGTTTCTGTAACCCTAAAAACAAATTTACATGTCAGTTATATGTGTGAAAATCCATAGCGATCTAAATCTAGCTAGTCATGTTTTCACACTTTGATTCGGAAAGCACATTATGCATGTTATGCACTTATCTTATTAGACTGAAGGACAGCTTCATCCATCAGGCTGTCAGGAAGCTGAACTCCCTCCCGACCTTGCCCCCCCTCCCCTACATGGCCTTTAAAAGTTTGTTGGATTTCCTTGATGTTAACGCCAACTTAGGTTTATCTGCACTTCATTAATATACAGGGGTCATATACAGGACCCATCCCTTAAAATACAGCAAAACTGTAACTGCCAACAGTATATTGGATGATCAGGGTATTGATTTGGGTTGCATCATCACCTCTTTTGGATCACTGAGTTGATGATGCAACCCAAATACCTTTAGAAATATTTTGGAACGTGTAATCAAATCATATTACACAACGTCGACAATCGTACACGGAAATGGAGTGTGGTTATCTCTTCTTCTTTTTCTTGGTGTTTAATGGCGGATGGCATACAACTCGGAGTGTGGTTATTTCCTATCCATGTGGACACATTATTCACGGTGTCCAATCAGATTGAGCTGAAATGTAACAAGAAAATGATAAAAACCAACACTTGAGTCTCTAAAGCTTTCGTTCCTTTGCGATGTTTATGATACTGGATAATACAGAGTGAATCATTTGTAATGTATGTTCACTCAAATGCGTAAATTAAAATCGCATTTGTGTATTTAACGTCAATAACACTTATTTTATAAGTTCTTTATCAATAAATTGTTATTCTCTTTTCTTAGTAAGCTTGCAGTGCTGCACATATAGAAAACATGCTATAATTATATCAATTTTAAAGGCCATCAGGAAGTTTCGAACTGCTCATAACGCACATTATAGTTACGTAGCTATTAGTTATCTCAGCTGACATCCGCTTTTAGATTGACCAAGTCGTCGCTTTAGCCTTTGAATGCCGATTAGACACCAGATGAATGATTTTCGTGTGGAGGGTGAAATGAAGAGACGCCTTATTGTTGAGTTTGAACTCACTGACACGGTTTTAAACGCAACACGCAACATAACCGGCACGTTTATGTAAAGAAACGTCAGTTTTAATAGCTATTTGTTCATTTGACGTCGTGTATTTATAGTGTAGGCCAGGGGTGGCGAACGTCGGTCCTGAAGAGCCGCAGCCCTGCAGAGTTTTGCTTCAACCCTAATCAAACACACCTGAACAAGCTAATCAAGGTCTGAAGGGTTACTAGAAAGCTACAGGCAGGTGAGTTTTAATTAGGGTTGGAGCTGTACTCTGCAGGGCTGCGGCTCTTCAGGACCGGAGTTCGCCACTGCTGGTGTAGGCTAACAAAAAGACCGTGACTCGGTATAAATCAATCTGGATGCTAGACATTTTGAGCACTGTCAGACTTAGAAGTGAAGTTTTGGAGTCGTAGTTTTTCAAGTTTAGGAAAGGATGAAGTCTAAATTATCTGTCGGTAAAACAAACGGAGTGTTTTATAACGTTACTTATATTTTTAATCGTGGAGGAGGAAATATTTCCCCTTTTTACTTTAATACTTTTAGCTCGGTGGGGATGTGTGAAAACAAACTGCCTCAAATGTTACGCTAGAAACACCTCAGCCTTTCCAAAAGGGTCTTGTATAGAAAGTTTATTTGCCAAGTAAAGTTTATTTGGCGAATAAAACAACCCACTCAGAGCACAGATTTAGCTTTAGATCAAGAAATCCTCTCACACAGCTGTGGTTTCGCTAGCCGGTGTGCTAGCCTCCACCTCAGCCCTCAGAAATGTCGAATATCTTCAACGAAGCTGTGACTTTGATTGATTAAAGATGTAAAGCCCGGATTGAAAAACCTTAATATCGTCTTTATAGTTTTGGAGATCGGTAAATGGATTCACTGCTGTGCCCCTCACGACCGTTTATTAGCAGGAGAGAAGCTAATTCCTCACAGCTAACATTCATGATTCTCATGTCTAAACGTTGCGCTTGACGTCTCTGTTGCTGTGTTCTTGTAGCTTTGGTTTTCCAGGTATCTGCCGTCGTGTAACGCAACTGTTTGTGTGTTTGTAGTAGTTTTGTTACGGTTGAGATTTGACCGTTAACTTTGCTGTGCGCGCGCAGGTCGGGTGACGAAGACAAAGGACAGGCACGAGGTGCGCTCGTGCAGGGTGGCGGATAAGAGCGGCAGCATCGCCATCTCTGTGTGGGATGAGCTGGGCAGCCTCGTCCAGCCCGGGGACATCATCCGCCTTACGAGAGGGTACGCACCTCCTGTCTGTCTGTGTAGTTTATTCAGACCTTAGACACTTCAAACCCCGTGTGGCTATTGGGTTGTCAATCAAACACAAACCGACAACTTGCTCTTTCAAACTGCTCTAAAATGCTTCGCATCCTGTAAGACGTGGTTAGGAACAATGATGTATGTTGTAGCAGTGTACAGAATAAATATGAATGAAGGCTTATAAACATATTGCATTGGGTACAGATTATACGTTTTTCAACTTGGAAATATTTGTGTCTGGCTAGGTATGCTTCAATCTGGAAGGGGTGCCTTACACTGTACACTGGACGAGGAGGAGACTTGCAGAAAATAGGAGAGTGAGTATTAAATATTTTCTCCCACAATACATGCTGCATATAAATCATTTGTCACGTTCATTATTTTGTGGTTTATCAGCATTGGGCAATAACTATGTCCACTTGGCAGATAAACCGAAATGGTAATTAACCCTTGTCAGTTCCAAAATGTAGAGTCAGTGGGTAGATATTGCATGATTTCCGTATGCGAATACTTTATGAGAGTTCAGTAAATGTCAAACCTGATTTAAAAATAAGGGTTCCCGTGACTATGAAGAAACACTGAAATCTCTGTTTTAATATTCTCTATTTCCAAGTCCGGGAAAATCCCGAAAATGTCTATAACATTGGAGCCTAGTCTTGTACTTGGAGTCACTTTCAGTTTAGTTTCAACTCTATTTAAATAGGCATGAAACGGACACATAATTGGACACCCCTGGTTTTTATGCTTTGCTCAAACATTTAACGTTATTACTGACCATAAACTTGACTGATGTACTGGGTAAAAAGGTGTGGGAACACTTCATTTCAGCCATTGTCTCATCATTCACACACACACACACACACACACACACATATATATATATA